ACCCCAAGGTTTGGGCTACGTCCACACTGATTATGTATTTATTTGAGGGAATAGAGAGGGAGAGGGTGAGAGCTTCTGAGAGCTTCTGAGGGTGAGAGAGGGGATCTCAGGCCTAGGAATTGGCCTCCGAGAGTGAGAGTGAGGCCTCTCCTAGAATGAGGGTAGGAGTCCCCTTTTATAGAATAAGGGGCTCCTCCTCTATTACATATTTGCCCCTTCCTTTATCCCATAATTACATTTAAGTCCCCTGAGTATTTGTATGAGATCTAAATACGAGGCCCTAAATATGGTATAAACATACACTAATCTAAAGTCTACGAAATTTTATATGAAGACACTAGACACACAGAGCTACACTTCTACAAATTTTTGGGATTTTTGGAGTTGATGTGCTATTTAAATTAAATTGAACAAAAACAGGGCAGAAATAAATTTTAAGGAGTTCACAAATTTAGAAAAACAAGTTAGGGGAATTGCTATCCACCACCAAATAATCATGCAAACATGTTATGTTTCCTTTTATTTCCGGATGAAGATGCTCAAGTTGGATCAATGTTAGAACTCAACCTATTACTCTTTCTTATGTAGTATGTTAAGAGAATGACGTTTTCAACTTAACTTAGTCCCTAGCATGCAATCTAGAATGGCTTGTTCATAGATTTAATAAGTAGAAATCATTAAGAACGAAAAGAGTTTGAGTCATCACAAGGCATTGTAAGTACTGGCGTTGTCTTACTTATCTTAGAAATTGGTTCACATGTTAATCGCAATTAACAAGTACTACTCTAGAACATATGTAGGTCCTCATTCAACAAGGGTAGGCACACACATATTTATAGCATTAGAATCCTAGATATGCTTACTAAGTATGCATCCGTAGAAAACACATAAAGAATTCATCAATGAGACAAGTAGTGAACCAATTTTCATCCATTCATAAAAGTAATTCAAACGAAATGTCATAACAAAGTTACAATCACATCTGGGGCTTCAAAACAGCCCCTAACTACTAAAAATTTAGTTACACACAATCTTTAAGTAAAAACAAAAGATAGACATGAGTTTGAGAAGATAGAACCGAAAGAAATCGACTGAGGCCTCATCCTCCTTCCTTCCTTCCCCAACGCTGCTTTTAAACCAATTCTTGCTGCATCATTTTCTTCTCCTTAACTCACCCACTAATAGCCATTTAGTGATGATAATAAGTGAGAGGAAATGGTAAAACAATTGTAACTCTTTGGGTAGCCTTTATGCCAATTACTCCCTCTTAATCCTCATCTTTAATTCCATTCCCTTTTATATTTGAATAAGTATCAGCTGACTTGTTCTTGGTTGCATCAGTTTTGGCTGCTAGATTTATTGGATTTATTGCTTTCATTTCAGTCTTGTTAGTTACAAACTGCTCAGCCTCTTGGTAACCTTTTAGTGTTAAAACGACTATAACTTCTTCTAGTCAAATGATATTAACAATCCATGAAATGCTCCAGAAAATAGACATCTGTAGCTTTCCAAGCATATAAGGCTCACTCTCTAATTCATTCTGAGCTGTTCGCAACTTGCTTCCAAAGTCAGCTGATCTGCACAGGCAGTTTTGACGAATTTGTTACTTAAAATCCCACTTGTGCTATTTTTCTTTTCTTTGCTTGACAAATCCTAGAAAACACAAAAACAAAGTAAATAGCTCAAAAATATAAGGAACTAACTAAGAAAAAACAAGTGAATTTGATGTAAAATATATATAAATATGAGCTTATCATATCCATAAAACAATTATCCATAATTCAAAACAAACCAAAACCAAACAAATTATTCCAAATACTTAGAAAAATTGTCCAAAATTAAACCATAATTCTAGAAAAATAGGGGGGCTCCGGCCACTAAGGGTAAAACACCCTAAAACATGTCTAAAATTGATTCGTCCATTAGAACCGATGCCTCCTGAAAATCTGATATCTCCATGTATGTAGTAGCATCTTTCGAATGTTCCACATGTGCAAAGTTAGACTCAAGACGAGAATGATACTTGGCAATAGCCTCGAGGGTAGCTCGGCATGTGCATGACCAATGATCCTTTGATCCACAGTAGTAGCATAAGTCTATTTCAATGGAAACCGATTAAACGGTAGCTTTTCCCTTGTTCTTGAAGTTTGGGGCCTTAGGGGCAAAGGGTTGGTGCTTCTGGGTCACATTTCTTCCCTTGGGTGGGCCTTGATTCTGTTGACCTTGGGCCCATGGTGGGGCTTATTGCCCATTGCCATGACCACGACGATTCTTGTGTTGTTTATGGCTGCTAGAATTGGTCGCATGCTCTTCAGGCACGACGTTCAAGCTAGTGGGTCAAGCTTGATGATTATTCATCAAAAGCTGGTTTTGCTTTTCAGTGAGAATTAAAACAGAGATCAAATCTGAAAATTTGGTGAACTTTTGTGCCTTATATTGTTGCTGCAGGACAATATTGGTGACATAGAAGGTCGAATATGTCTTCTCCAAGAGATCTGATTCAGTTAATTCCACTTTATAGAACTTCAGCAGTGATCGGATTCTACAAACTTCAGAGTTATATTCATTCATGGACTTAAAGTCTTTGAAGCAAAGATGCTGCCAGTATTGTCTTGCTTCAGGCAAGTAAATGTATTTCTGGTGATCGAAATGGTCGGCCAGAGTAAACCAGAAGGTGTGTGGGTCTTCTTCAGCGAGGTACTTAGTCTGCAGAGCATCATGGATGTGTCATCGAATGAAGATCATTGCAGTAGCTTTCTGAGCTTCGTCGACAGGGTTGTCGTCGTTAGGTGCCTCAATGGTGGCTTTAATACCCTTTGCAGTAAGATGAAGCTTCACGTCTTGAAACCACTTCAGGTAGTTTCTTTCAGATACTTCTAGAGCGGTGAAATCAAGCTTGTTTAAGTTTGACATGTCCCTAAAACGGAGAGTACAACAAAACATGGTTAGTCATATGGTAATCCATAAACATACATCGTAGAACATTCGGGTTCTATAGACATGTATTGGTTTAATTTAAGCATGAAAGCTATAGGTTTCATGTGGTAAGTTTTGAATGAAAACTTCTGGTTTTAAAGGCACCAAATATGAAACTACAGGTTCAATTTAGTTTTATGAACGATTAGTTCATAAAGGAGAGGTTCCTACAAGAAACATAGAATGCAATATGCTGATTTAAGTGTAGTGGATTTGAGTTTCTTCTGGAACTCAAGTGTGAGAGCTTCGGGACTACGAAAGGATGTCAACGGTTGAAAGTATACAAATAAATTATTGAATCGATAATGTCCAAAAGTGATATTCAGGTCAATAATTTTGGATTAATTATCAGATTAATGAACTACATGTCACTTTTAATTAATTCAATAGATCGGGACCAAACAGGGTCGATCGTGGAAGCAAAAATAATAATAACATTGGGTTAAAATGATTTAAAATGCCAAAAATTAGCATTGGATTCGAAAAACCCTAGCCCAACAACATCATGGGGAATGTTTTCATGCTTTGTGGACGTTTCAAATATCTTCCTTTATTTTAAGCATACCTGATTGGCAAAAAACAAATAAAAGCCTTTGAATTTGGTAGAAGAGAGCCTCCTCCTACGATCCTTAGTTCCTTAGCTTCTGGCAAAAGCGTGCTGATAACATGTTGTAGGCCAATTTAACTGAGCTATTCTAAGGGAATAGAGAGAGGGAGGTCGGCAGTAGTGAAAGAGAGGAGAGAAATTTAATTGTGAGGTGTGTGTTGTATCACCCCATTGTGCCTTTAAGGTTAAATCCTTACTCTTTCAGGATTACAACTTTAATAGGAATTAGACTACTAAAAGGAATATAAAAGATATCCCTAAATACGCTAGGATGTACACAATCACATTCCTATTATAAATATAACTGTAACAGAGTGTAGTTTTTAGTTTTAATTGTTGTGATTTTTGGATTTTAAATTTTGTGTTTATGATTAAAAAACGGTTAAAAGTTCTGAAATATTAGATACTCCGAAACATCATAATGTTGAGTGTGTGGCAATTGTGTAGTGGCTAATGATATTGAATTAATTAATATTGTCGTCACACCCAGGGGCGGATCTACTAAGGGACCAAGGTGGTCTAAGGACCACCCAGAAGCTTGGATAAATGGTTGTGAGGACCTTGAAGGACCACCCAAATTTGGGCAGTGGTGGAGAAGAACAACATCCATGGTTGTTGTGCGCTGTGCAAAACAGGAGGAGGAAGAAGAAAGCTTTTTTTTTAAAAAAAATTGACTTGGCCAAAACGACATCGTTTTGAGCCAAATCATTAAAAATATTTTAAAAATTCACGTAATGCTCACTCACACTACCAATTTATACATTTAATAAAAGTCAAATCGTTTAAAATATAATAAAAGCCCATTCATTAGTCAGATTGCTTTCTTATTCACACTACCAATTTTATATACCTAATTGTCTGCCTCTCACGCTTCCCAAGCCAGCCAAAAGCCAACACCCATCAGCAAACCTACTGTTCGGCTATTCCTCACACTTCCCAAGTCAGCCGAAGGCCATCACCCATCAGCATCAACTTTAAAATTTCTGTAAGTTTTCTAATTTAGTGTTAGTTCTTACTTTTTAGTGTTAGTTGATACATATTTTTTAGGATTTTTAGTTTTAGTTTTTATTTTTTATTTTTTCAAAATATCACTAATTAAAAACAAAGGGGCCGAATAGACTACAGTTGATGCTTAGAGTTTTTCATATCTATTTTAGGATTTTTTTTTCTTAGGATTGTTGAACAGCATCAACATTATTTATTGTTAATTTCTTAGGATTTTTTCATATCTATTTTAATGTTAGTTCATACATATTTATTGTTGATTCGTTAGAATTCTGATATTACTTGGATTGTGTTATAGGGTTCTTTTTTGTTGTTGAATATTGTGTTACAGTGTTAGTTCATATATATTTTTTAGTTTCATCAATTGATATAGAATTTTTTTTATTAATTGATATGTGTAGAAATTAGAAGTATGGAACGATATTACAAGCGAAAATCATCATTGATTAGTTCGGACAATCATATTCCAAATAGTTCACCTTCAAACTTAGATAGTTCCAATCCTATTCCGAATAGTTCCCCAACTTCTGCTCCAATTCCAAATAGTTCTGATCCAATTGGGGGTAATTCCACTCCACAACAAAATGAGTTAAAAGTTGATTTGGATAATCTTGAGAGAGACCCCGGAAAGAGAATTCCAATGAAGGACTATCCTCCAAATATTCGAGATGGGGTCCGAAGAGCATATATTAATGGAGCCTTTTAGAGCTAAAGATCATGATTTTCCATTCACTTTGCATTCGAATAAGAAGCGACGATTCGTTGGTAATTGGTTGAAAGAATTTCATTGGTTGAAAGAATTTCATTGGTTGAAATATAGTATATCTAAAGATGCTGCATTTTGCTTTTATTGCTATCTATTCAAAGTCAATTCTGAACAATCAGGCAGTGACGTCTTTACTGAGGTAGGCTTTCAAAATTGGAAGCATGCAAGAGCATGTTTTTGAAAAACATGTAGGAATGGTTGGTAGCTTTCACAATAAAGTTGTTGAAGTTGCTGGTAATCTAATGAATCAAAAGACACATATTGAAACAGTTGTGGTCTAACAGTCAGAAGAAGCTCGTATGGCTTATCGCACTTGCTTGAATGCGTCAATTGATTGCACTAAGTTTTTGTTACGACAAGGTCTTTCATTTCGTGGTCATGATGAAAGTGACACTTCAAACAACAGAGGTAACTATTTAGAGCTCTTGCAATTCCTTGCGGATCATGATGAAAAAATAAAGGACGTTGTGTTAGACAAAGCTCCGGGAAATCTCAAGCTAATAGCTCCTACAATCCAAAAAGGTCTTGTTCATTCATGTTCTATTGAAACCAAATGTAAGCGTCGTGATGCACTTAGAGAGATGCAACAAAAAGAACTTATGAAAGCTCTTGAAAATGATTCTCTTATGACGGGACGAGGATTAAATCAAGAAACTAGGCTCAAACATGCCGGAGCTACAAGATGGAATTCACATTATGGTACTTTGATTAGTTTGATTTCTATGTACTAGTCCGTGGTCAATGTGCTTGAAATGATTGTTGATGATAATACCAATGATAGTGTGGCCGAAGCAAATAGGTTATTGAGGGACATACAATCTTTTGAGTTTGTGTTTCTCCTATTTTTGATGAAATCTATATTGGGAATCACGAATGATTTATCACAAGCATTACAAAAGAATCATCAAGAGATTGTGAATGCAATGGCTTTAGTCAACACATGTAAAGAACAACTACTCTACATGAGGAATGATGAGGGGTTTGATCTTTTGGTTGACAAAGTATCGTCATTTTGTGTCCAACATCATATTGAGATTATTAACATGGATGAGGCATATGTAGCTCAAGGGAGGTCACGCCGTAATACCCACAAAAAGACCAACCGTCATCGTTACAAAGTTGAGCTTTTTTTTGTTGTCATTGATTCCCAACTTACAGAGTTAAATGATCGCTTCAATGAGACAAGTACCGAATTGCTCATATGTTTGGCTAGTTTGAGTCCAAATGATTCTTTTATAGCTTTTAACAAAGAAAAGTTACTTCGCCTTGCTCAATTGTACCCTCAAGATTTTACTAAGCAAGACCTGTTGGCGCTTAAAGATCAACTCGATATTTATATTCACTCTATGCATTCGAGAAGTGAATTTTCTCAATTGCAAAGCATTAGTGATCTTGCTAAGAAAATGGTGGAAAAAGGGTTGCATCGAGTATTTCAATATGTGTATTTACTTATTGAATTAGCTTTGGTTTTACCGGTTGCAACTGCTTCAGTGGAGAGAGCATTTTCTGCCATGAATATCATTAAGAGTCCACTCCACAACAGAATGGGGGATCAATGGTTAAATGATAGCTTAGTTGTTTACATTGAGAAAGATGTTTTTTCTTGTATTGACAATGAAACTATCATGACACGTTTTCAAAGCATGAAATCCCGTCGTGGACAAATTTAGTATTTCTAGCTTGTTTGCCATTTATTTGTTCACCGCTATTTTCGTCTATTTTTCTTGGAGCTTTTATATTGGGACCACCCTATGTTAAAATCCTGGATCCGCCACTGGTCACACCACAAGATAAGTGTGTGGCAGAAGTATCAATGTGATCAATTTTTGAGGGTCCTTCTGAGTGTACCGATGTAGATCTAGAATCTTATATGCTCCACAAAATCATATATGCTGGACTTCGAACAATTCAATTCGTTTGAGAGGCTTCCGTGCCTATCTATCAATATCCAATACAATATACATAGTGCTTTCACATCACTATAATGTGCAAGAAAAGTTTCAAATCCAATAAATAGTATACTCTGGAAAAATGGCTTGTAATTATAATTCTTTATTACATATTTAACTACTCTAAGTTGTGCGAAAGTGATGCTTTGAACCTAAAATGCAGTGATTGAAGAAAAAATATATCTTATTCTGCATGTTTTAATTGTTGCTTGCGTGATCTGCACTAGCTACATGCATTCCATTTAACTAACCATTTTATTACCAAATAATGACTTAATTACACTTATACTTGATTCATGTGACCTTCATAATATTGGCATGTTTCCCCGAATCAATTTTACATGATTTATGTGACCCTTGTACTATATATTACATGATTTATGTGACCTTTGTTCTTAATTACACTTTTAATAAATATTTTTACACTCTTTTCTAGCCTGTAGACCTTGTAACATCCAAATTAAGGTCCTAATTATAATTCACGTTATCATCTATGTCACTTACTGATTAAAAGCAATTTACATCACTCTTAAATAAGACCCTTGGATGTTATAATATCTACATGCTAGGAAGTTGTTGAGTAATATTTGTCAAAAAGTTTACCTGTTGATCCTAACCCATATTTAGTATGTTCCTAGTTGTGCTGCAACGACCAAGTAATGCTACTCACACGTAAAAAAATTATTTTTCTTGTATCATTCATTTTTTAAACGTTATAGTCGGAATCGTTTATTTTCTTTACCATCAGCTAAAGGGGTGGGCACTTGGAACCGAAAACCAAAACTGAAACACGAACCAAACCGAACTGCAAAATGGAAAAACTGTTTGGTTTCGGGTTTGAACATATAAAACCACACCGAAACCGAACCGCACCTTAAATTTAAATAAATATTTAACTCAATACCAATATTAGGTAATTTATATTGTAGGCTTTCTTTATTTTATTTTTCATTGTGTTTTGTTACTTTTTTAGGCTTTTTAAAGTTTATAACAACTAATGGAATGTATACAGTTTATGTTTCTGTATTGTATAGAGTTGGCCAACTTGAATTCAAGTATCGACTCTCTTACTCTTAATTCACAACCACATCAAGAAGCTCCAACCAATCTCAAGCTTCTAGTTCACAAAGGTTCAATAGATTCTCATCCAATGGTTTCACTTGCACAAAGACCAAGGTCTTCCTAAGTATTGCCTTCTCAAGCCCGTTCATAAGCTCAAAGGCCTCCTAAACATTTGAAGAGTAAGTGTCCAAAAGGTTGAGGAAAGATAAAGGGTTGAAACGATGCAAAGTAGTAACTTGAAAGTTCAACCACCAGACCTTTTTGTTGAATTGCATGAACAATTTATTTTCTTTGGTTGTACTACTATTGCCATAAGGCATTTTGATGTTGAAGTTTGTTTGAATTTTAGTTTTAGTATGATAAACTAAACTTTTTTCAATTGGGTTGTACTAAAGTAATGCAATAATGCATTTTGATGTCGAACTTTATTTCAAGCTGAATTTTAGTGTGGTGATCATGAATGTTTTATTTATTTATTTTTTTGCCCAATTGGGTTGTATTAATACCATAGTTCTTTTAGTATGCAAATGGGTTGAAACCGATCAAAACCGCAACCTAATGGTTTGGTTCTATTTTGGTTCAAGTTTCAAAACCGCACCAATCGCACTGACCAAACCGTATCCACCCTTACTAAAGATCATTTAAGGATAAGTTATTCAATTTAAAGACCCCTTCCCCTTCCATATGTGTCAAACAAACCGACGTAACGAATAATACCTCATGATGGACTATCAAGTTGTTTGATTCATATGAATGACTAAAAGCTTTCCAAATCGAATCATTTTTCTCAAGATAATCTGTAAATGAAACAAAGAAATCAAACAATGTACTTTAGCCATAGTTATCCATGAAAACATTACAATTGAGATTTCATAAAATCTTAGATATAATAGCTAAATTCGCAGTTTCCGTTTGGCACGATCTATACGAATCTATATATACAATCTTCTTCCGTTATCTTCCAAATCTTTAATCGTCCTACAGATCCCATCCCTCCCCACCTTTTTTTTCCTTTTTATTTTATTATTATTATTATTATTATTATTTTATAAATTAGAAAGCATGCTTAACCTGTGCATGGAAGACGAAACGTCAGTAGACTCAGTACTATCGGAACTGTGTCGAATATTATATATTTTTCTCATAATTTGTGTATGTGAGCTGTGCTATATAAACTGATCCAACCTATCCATTTTTTCAATTAATATAGCAAGAGAAGAATCAATCATAATATTCTCGAAGCTATATACTTGATACTTACACACACATGGGTTTGAATAATGGTGAAGTGGGTGCTATTAGCCATGAGCTTCTTGGAGCTCAAGCACATGTTTGGAACCACATGTTCCAGTTCATAAACTCCATGTCACTCAAATGTGCAGTTCAACTAGGCATCCCAGACGTGATTCACAACCACGGCCAACCCATCTCTCTTTCCGAGCTCGTCGCCAGGCTCAATATCCACCCTTCGAAAGCTCATTTCATGTCACGCCTCATGCGGATCCTCGTTCACTCCGATTTCTTTGCACAACATGATCATGTTCATCATGATCGTGACGATGCGGAGGAAGAAGTGGCTGTTGTGTTGTATAGCCTAACACCAGCTTCCGGGCTTTTTCTCAAAGACGGACCATTAAACACCACACCGTTTTTGCTCATGATACTTGATCAGGTAATTACAGACCCATTTCACTCAATGGGTAATTGGTTACAGATGAATTGTGGCGATGATCTAGTTCCATGTACACCATTTGAGGTGGCAAATGGAATGCCTTTTTGGGAATTGAGTGCCAAGAAACCGAGGTTTGGTGACTTGTTCAATGAAGCAATGGAGGCGGACTCCAAGCTTATCGCTGGGGTTGGTAGAAGAGTGTGGAGGAGTCTTTGAGGGTTTGAAATCCCTGGTGGATGTTGGAGGGGGTACAGGAACAATGGCCAAGGCCATTGCCAATGCATTTCCCAACATCAACTGCACTGTGTTTGACCAGCCACATGTGGTGGCTGACTTGGAAGGGATGACCCACAATTTGGGATTTGTGGGAGGAGACATGTTTGAGGAAATACCTCCAGCCAATGCAATTCTGCTCAAGGTAATATATCTAACGCGCACAATTATTTATCTTAATCTTTGTTGTTCCATAACCAATTTCCTAATCAATACATTGTTGCTAGTAAACTATCTCATCCTTGGTTGTCTTTGGAATTTCTAGCTAGCTAGTTCAAATCACTTGTTAAAGTCCTAGCTAGATCAAATTGTTACCTGTAAGAAGGTAGTGGATTATATTTAATCAGACATACAAAACTGACACATTTGCTAATACAATCTAATCAGGTGGAACCCCATAACAATGGGATCCTAATAGAGTATGTTCCAAATTTTGCATGAATGCATTATTGATGTAGTTGTGTTTCCATATCCTCTATATTAATTTGGGTAAATGTTGTGACTAATTGAATAATATATGTGATGTTTAGTGGATTTTGCATGATTGGAATGATGAAGAAAGCGTGAAGATATTGAAGAAATGTAGAGAAGCAATATTTCTGAACAAAAATGAGGGAAGGAAGAAGAAGATTATCATCATAGACATAGTTGTGGGGTATGCCGATAACAAGACGAAGGTGGACAAGAAATCAATTGAAACCCAACTCATGTTCGATATGTTGATGATGTCCACCATCACTGGCAAAGAGCGTAGCGAATCAGAATGGGAGAAGATCTTTTTGGCTGCTGGATTCTCTCATTATAACATCACTCATATGCTCGGTTTGAGGTCTCTTATTGAAGTTTACCCCTGAAATTAGATCATCATGCTAGACTGCTAGTACTGTATTATGTGGATTGTATTATGCAAATAAAGAATGCCCAAAAAGTAGCAGGGTACTTTTTTTTTTTTTTTTGTTAAGTAGAGTGTGTCTGCAACTATGATTCAACGATTGTTACTTCCGTTGTGGTTGCAAAGTTTAGGTGATCAATGAATGTTAAGTTTTGATGCTTGAAAGGAGTTTCCCTGTTGAAGCTTTTCATAAACTTCATTTGATATGATCCTCTTACTGGATCTTGCAAGAAAAACAAAGACATTTCTCATTGTTGTGGATGCAAATTTCTTTTTTCTTGATCTTGGACAAAATTGCACCTACAAAACAAATAACATCTTAGGTCAAGGCCAAGAGCCCCACGCACCCACGATGAATGGGTGGGGGGGGACTTTGGCCAAAGGACCTCCGATGCCAAAGTTAGAATTTTGAGAGAAAAGTGTTTGAGAGATTTGGAGAATTTTAGCACGAGTGAGGACCTAGGTTTTTGGTGAGAATGGGAGCCTATTTATAGGGATAGCGTTCTTGATTTAGGTTGAATTTAGGAGTTATGGGAATAATTGACTAATTAATTTAGCAAATAAAATTATTGCCAAATTAGCTAGCTAATTAATGTGATAAAATAGGTAAATATGATGAGATCAACAAGGGTGGCCGGCCCTTTGGGATTTTTGGGTATATTTTGTGGGTGATTTAATTGGTGATTAATGGATTAATTAGGAATTAATCCATTAATTAGCTAATTAACCTCCACTTAAATGTAATGTTATGTAGGTTATAAAACAATTACCTAAGATAAGGATGGATGAGAATATCTTTGAATTGGTTATCCATTTTGGACACTTTTGACATGATTGACGGATGATTGTCTGCTGCTCACTCGTAGGAATCCCGGTATGCCTCAAGGGTATTTTGGTCCTTTTTTACCCAAAAATTCACGTGTCGCCTTGTGATTATTTTTGGCACCACAATTGTCATTAGCCAAATTGAAAAAATTAATTTAACAAACTAATTTGCTCTGATAATACGTTCACAATTAATTGAAGCAAAATCAATATGAATCCCAACAACTAGTCAATTGTAGATAATTACAAACAAAACTAGCTTAGTGTAGTTAATTTCCCAATTACATTTGCTAACCAAACAAGCTATAAAATGCTCATCTTTCTCAAAAATTTTACACATTGCAACTTGTACTGCTACTTCCTCCATTAGTACTAGTACTAGTAGTAGCTGGATTCCCTTTGCTATCGTCTTCCTCCAGAATATGATGGCCTCTCTTAACCAAGACATGAGCTAGGGATTAGAAGAAACAACCAACAACAACAAAGCCTTTTCCCAGTAGTGGGGTCGGCTATATGAATCCTAGAACGTCATTGCGCTCGGTTTTGTGTCATGTCCTCCGTTAGATCCAAGTACTCTAAGTCTTTTCTTAGGGTCTCTTCCAAAGTTTTCCTAGGCCTTCCTCTACCCCTTTGGCCCTGAACCTTTGTCCCGTAGTCACATCTTCGAACCGGAGCATCAGTAGGCCTTCTTTGCACATGTCCAAACCACCGTAACCGATTTTCTCTCATCTTTCCTTCAATTTCGGCTACTCCTACTTTACCTCGGATACCCTCATTCATAATCTTATCCTTTCTCGTGTGCCCACACATCCAACGAAGCATCCTCATCTCCGCTACACCCATTTTGTGTACGTGTTGATGCTTCACCGCCCAACATTCTGTGCCATAGAGCATCTCCGGCTTTATTGCCGTCCTATAAAATTTTCCTTTGAGCTTCAGTGGTCTACGACGGTCACACAACACGCCGGATGCACTATTCCACTTCATCCATCCAGCTTGTATTCTATGGTTGAGATCTCCATCTAATTCTCCATTCTTTTGCAAGATAGATCCTAGGTAGCGAAAACGGTCGCTCTTTGGTATTTTCTGATCTCCGATCCTCACCCCTAACTCATTTTGGCCTCCATTTGCACTAAACTTGCACTCCATATATTTTGTCTTTGATCGGCTTAGGCAAAGACCTTTAGATTCCAACACTTCTCTCCAAAGGTTAAGCTTCGCATTTACCCCTTCCTGAGTTTCATCTATCAACACTATATTGTTTGCGAAAAGCATACACCAAGGAATATCATCTTGAATATGTCCTGTTAACTCATCCATTACCAACGCAAAAAGGTAAGGACATAAGGATTGTTGATGCACAAAATCAGTGAGGACTTTGGTACAACAGAAAGTATTAAGTTTGTGATCTTTGCTAGATTACTCCGGTCATTAGTGTGGATAAGTATGTAAATGGATAGAGACAGGAAAGCAAACATAAGATGTACGTGGTTCACCCAGATTGGCTACATCCACGGAATATAGGAGTTCTCATTAATTGTGAATGGTTTACACAAATACATAGGTTCAAGCTCTCCTTTAGTGAGTACAAGTGAATGATTTAGTACAAATGACATTAGGAAATAGTGTGGGAGAATGATCTCGTAATCATGAAACTTCTAAGTACCGAAGTGTGGTATCGTCTTCACTTGCCTTATATGTCTCATAGGTAGATGTGGCATCTTCTCTGGAAGTACTCTTCCTCCATCCAGGGGTGGTATCTTTAACAGGTGGAGATGCACAAGGTAATGTATCAATTTCACTTGAAGCTTACTTGTAGTTTCAGGCTTGGTCAAGCGCGATACAAACCATGTAGTAGGAGTCCCCCAAGTCGCCGAGCTAGGGGATCTGCTGAAAGAGGTGACAGACAAGGTAAGCAATCAAAGCTCCAAGCAATCAGTCTCAGATCAGAAGTTTGATTTCAAGTTTCGACTGATTGTTCTCATTCTCCCTCTCTTGCAGGCAACATGAATGATTAAGAGAAGAAAAGGAGAAGAGATGATATGAGATACTTTTACTTTTGAAGAAGTAACTTTCCACAGGCTTATTCTTGAACTGGGCTAGAGGGTTTTCTGGTTTCCTCCAGAGTATAAAGCCGACTAAAGAATTTGAGGGGTCAAAACAAGTCCATCAAATCTAGAGTACATTCGACCCTGCTGATATGGGATACTTTTGCTGTTGACAAAGTAGTGGATGTATTGGCACGTGTTTTATTACGCTTGTCCACATGCTTCCTTGTATCATTCTCATTTGCCTTATCTGTTCCTCAGGCAGATGTGGTATCTTATCTGGAAGCATAAGATGTTGAAGATGAGTACTCGAGAGCAATGCCAGGTAAGTAATCAGGTAAGGGGTTCCAGGCAGTCAGTTCCTGACTGGAAGCTTGATTCCAAGTGCTGACTGATTGCTCTTTTTCTCCTTGTCTTGCAGGTAAGAACAAGGCCAAAGGAAAAGACAGGGAAAAAGCATGATATGGGATACTCTTTCTTTTAACCCTGATGATATGAGATATTCTTGCTCTGGTGTAGCTTATTTGCAGAGGTATTATCGGGGGGAAAGAAAGCTGAGTATTTCGAGAGGCTTCGTTGGGAGTGCCCTCTCAGATATGAGGAAGGGTTGAGCATTTTTGCAGGTCCGCCTGTCAGTTGAGGATGGAGGTCGACATATGTAGGAGTCTCTCTAACAACAAGTAGTAATGCTATTCCTTTACCCTACTTGGTCATAGCACGGTAGTGGGAGCTGTCAGCTTCACGTGTTTTAACTCTGTCAGAGCACTTTGAAAAAATGGTTTGTGGTATCTGGAAATATGATGTTGCGTGTGAAGATTACAGACAAACTTTATCCAATGAGATCTGGCTCTCAAAGTTGAGAAAGTGGTGCCTCTTCGGTTTTTGAACAAGCAATCCTGTCGGGATTTGGCTCTCGGGATTCAAAGAACGGTGCCTCTTCGATTTTTGAGAAAGCAATCCTGCTGGGAGTCTGGCTCTTGAGATTCGGAGAGCGGTGTCTCTTCGATTTTTGAGAAAGTAATCATGTTGGGAGTCTGGTTCTCGAGATTCGGAGGGCGGTGCCTCTTCGATTTTGGAGCAAGCAATCTTGTTGGGAGTGTTTTCTCGAATGTGAGTAAAGGTTGGGCATGTTTTCTAGTCTACCTTGCCACGGAGCACAGAGGTTGACACACAGGGACTTTCCAATTATCCAGCAGTGGTGCTGTTCCTTTACCCTTGTGGGTAATAATATAGTAGCTAGACCTTCCAAATTTATGTGTCTAAACTTTGTTAGTGCTGTTTCTTTGCTATTCTTTTACCCTTCTTGGTCATAGCGATGTAGTGGGAGCTGCAAACTTCACGTGTCTAAACTTTGTCAGAGATATTTGGCAAAGTTATCTGTGGTACCCATGAGCTAATGTTGCGTGTGGAAAGTGGATGATTGAACAGTAAGATTCACGTGCTTTCTACTTCACCAGAAATCTTCGACAGAATGGCCGTAATTTCCGCAAAGCTGAGTGTGCATGTGACAGGTGCTGACAAGGCTGAAAAAGCAGGTGCCTCTTCGATTTCTGAGATTGGTCCTCGTGGTCTCTGAGCAGCCCAACTTTTGAGAAAGTAAGCGCCTCTTGGATTTCTGAGATCGGCCTTCGTGGTCTTTGAGCAGCCCAGCTTTTAAGAAAGCAAACGCCTCTTCGATTTCTGAGATCAGCCGTCGTGGTTTTTGAGCAGCCCAACTTTTGAGAAAGCAAATGGCTCTTCGATTTCTGAGCAGGCGCCTCTTCGATTTCTGAAGCTCCGTCGAGTGCAGATTTTTATAGAGGCTGGCATTAAGTTCCAAAGCACACTTGAATCTCCACCAGTAGAAGCTCCCTTCTTGCACTTCTAAGATCTTGATTTGTCCGACCTCTTCTCTCTTCAACACCTTTGAAAATGTTTGGCCCATCTGACCGTCGTTTTGACTTGAACCTTGTTGAAGAGGCAGCCACGCCTTCTCCAGACAACATATGGCGCCCATCATTCTTATCCCCTACTGGTCCTCTTACCGTTGGGGATTCCGTGATGAAGAATGATATGACCGCTGCGGTGGTGGCCAGGAACCTTCTCACTCCCAAAGATAACAGACTACTTTCCAAACGGTCTGATGAGTTGGCTGTTAAGGATTCTCTGGCTCTCAGTGTTCAGTGTGCAGGTTCTGTGTCTAATATGGCCTAACGCCTATTTGCTCGAACTCGCCAAGTTGAATCATTGGCGGCTGAAGTGATGACTTTCAAACAGGAGATTAGAGGGCTTAAGCATGAGAATAAACAGTTGCAC